ACTTTTTTCTCACATTTCTGACTCTAATCTCAGAATTCTGACTTTTTTTTCTCAGAATTCTGCCTTTAATCTCAGAATTCTGCCTTTAATCTCAGAATTCAGACTTTTTTCTCAGAATTCTGACTTTATTTCTCAGAATTCTGACCTTTAATCTCAGAATTCTGTCTTTAATCTCAAAATTCTGACTTATTTTTTCAGAATTCTGACTTTAACCTCAGAATTTTGGATCTTAATCTAGATGGGCACCATAAAGGAAGAAATGTGGGAGCACTCAGCTTCACTGACAAAGATGTGAGTTGTTTGGGAGGGCCAATAACACATTGGTGGAAAATGACTTTTTACGTACCCGAGGGGTCCCTGGTGATGCTATTTCATTAATGGAAGAGCAAAAGGTGTATAAAACAAGAGAGCTAGTCTCTAACAAAAACATGGTTATGGCTTGAAGCAAACATGTTTGTTAGCTGTCAGAATTCTGAGATTAAAGTCAGAATTCTGAGAAAAAAGTCAGAATTCTAAAATTTGAGTCAGAATTCTGATTTTTTCCCCCATATCTTTTATTATTATTATTTTTATTTTTCAGAGGTCCTAATCCTCTTCCATAAACATCAGATTTTTCACCTTACAGCTTTTGTTTGTAGCATTTCAGAACAGTAATACTTTATTGAAAGCTAAAATATTTTCAATCTAATTTTTTGTAAATGCTAGAGATAATAATAACATATTAGTCTCAACCAAAGTTATCTGCAAAACAAATATGTTAGAAGATAAGGCAAAAGTGATTGAAAGATGGACTTCATTGGTCCCCAAAGAAACATTCTTCTAAGGGGCCAGCTTAAAATTGGGCGAAAGTAACAGGTTAGCATTGTCACCAGCAAAAATAAGGTTTTATTTAAAGGCTGGCCCAAGCATCTGTGGGATCCTGTGCAAAATTACAATTTTGGGCCCTCTATTTCTGCCAATGATATTTATTGCTGCAATCAAGAAGTCCAATGATTTACATGGGTATAATAAACTCACTGAAGCTCTGGCAGGGCCGTTTATGGTCCTTTTTTAAAAATGCATTATCTATTGTTACTGAAAGTAATAAAGTAAACTAGTATGTAGATATTTACAGTAAAAGTGTCATGGGATTTATGCCTCTGGCTGCAACATGTGCAATAAGAACCTTTAGTGCGGGAACAAAAATAGACAGATAAAATATCATTGGTAGATAAAACAATTAGTACAAAAATAGACATTATTTCAACAAATAAAAAAAACAAAAAACTATGGAGTTTATTTTTATTCTTCAAAAATAAGTTTGGTTAGTTTACACTGGTTATTCCTTGTCTGTGTGTCAGTCTGGCCCCATGACCAACCTTTTTTTCCCCACAAGAATAATTAATGATTTCTACATCTTTAAAATATATTGATGTAAAAAAAAAATCAAACAGCTTTATAATGAAATTGTGTGTTGTTTCTGTATTCATTAAAAAAAAATTATTACTTGTGCAAAAAAAAAAAAAAATTATTATTCTTGGGGAATTCTAGTTGATATGTTGGGTTGTTTCTTTTGAATGCATCAACAAAAGAAAGCAAAGAAGAAATGTTGCTTTTTTTATTTCTCTATTAGTTTATTTTAGTTTTACTTTATCAATAGTGTTGCGCCGATGCCATTTTTGGCCCCGATACCGATACCCGATACCTGGCTGTGCAGTATCGGCCGATACCGATACCATAATAATGTAAAATAATTGTCATCATGGCTTCATGTCAAGCTGCTGCCTACCTTTGTGAAGCAGGAAAAAATCTAATACAAAGTGAATCCAGTAGAACTTTTTATTGCCTACCAGGAGTGGGTGACAATAGTTAAATAAACTTATGGCTCTCAAAATGGTATCGGTGCCCTATTTTTTGGTACTCACCGATACCGATACCACCATTTTAGGGCAGTATCGGGGCCCCGTCCGATACTGGTATCGGTATCGGTGCAACACTATTTATCAACATAGCAGCTTTTATTAACATGTTTAATGATATAAAATAAATGTATTATATTATAATGATATAATATAATTTAAGCATGAATTATACCACTTTAGCGTTTTCAGTAAAATATCAGTCCAAGCTTACTTTCACACAAATAAAAACTACTTAAAATGTGCCTTAAAAACACTGATTAGGATGTATTTGCTAGTGTACAATCAGTTACATTCCTGCCTTAAGGTAAATGTTGGGTTGGAAACTTTGGGTGTATCCTCTTTAACAGGCAACTTCATGTCTGCAATGCCTACACATACAGTAATGTTTAGTTTTCTGTCCATTACTCTTGTTTTCTTTCTCTGGGGTCATGTTTCAGAATAGGTACCACAATAATTTGTGCATTTTATACGGTTAAATAAATATTTGATTAATCTCTAATTGAAAAGAACAATGTAAAAAAGAACTATAAAGCAAAAACAGGGGTGAAAACTATTTAAGAAAAAACGAGATGTCCAGTAACCTGAAAAAAACTTCCCTGGTGCTTTTGGTATACGCTACTGCCACCCCCTTGTGGACAAAAGGGGATATTACATCAGGGCGGCTTAAAGCAAAAATGTATTTCTCCAAAATTACAACAGCGATTTTTCTTCAAATTGTTAAATAAGTGGAAACTAGACTTACGGCAATAACATTAACATTTACCTAAAAGTTAATAAAATGATCTTTTTTCTTTTTTTAAATTAATTTTAACAAAAACTTGTTAAATAAACCACATGATGACCATTTCTACAATAAAGCTTATTTACTAAAAAACCAAAACAATTAGGTTTGTATATTTAGTATTAATAAAGTATACATACTCAAAATAATGTTAATTGTTGTATTGATCTGAATACATTAAGTTAATTGTTGGAATTGGATAGTGGTAACCCTGATGCATAAATACATAAACCTGAAAATTATGTATTTTAAATAAATAAGCTATAATAAAGTCATTAATATGCATATTATAAATGCATCATATAACAAAATACTTGTTAATTGATGTGTTCTCTGCTTAATATTGCTATAAGCTTGCATTTAACCTACGTATATTATATGTGGAGCTTAAAATATATATATCGTATATCCTATATTAGGGCTGCAACTAATGATTATTTTGATAATTATTTTGATAATGGATTAATCTGTCGATCAGATAGTGAAAGGTTCCTTAAGGAAGACTTTATACAGAAATAAACCATGTCAAACTTTTTGACTTGTGGAGTTTTGGATGGATAGAGCATATTGACAGAAGAGAATTTATTATTTATCTTAAATGTAAAATATTTATATCTTTTTTTCACCATGGTATAACTGCTGCTCTAAGTGGGTTGCTACATATATATATATATATATATATAAAAAAAAAAAACTGTTTTCTCACCCCTCATGGGGTGGTATGTGTCATCCTCAAGCTCGGGTCCTCTACCAGAGGCCTGGGAGTTTGAGGGTTCTGCGCAGTATCTTAGCTGTTCCTAGGACTGCGCTCTTCTGGACAGAGACCTCTGATGTTTTACCTGGAATCTGCTGTAGCCACTCTCCCAGTTTGGAGGTCACAGCCCCCAGTGCTCCAATTACCACTGGCACCACTGATGCTCTCACTTTCCACATCTTTTCTAGCTCCTCCTTCAGTCCTTGGTATTTCTCAAGCTTCTCGTGTTCTTTCTTCTTGATGTTGCTGTCGCTTGGGATTGCCACATCTATCACTACTGCCTTCTTCTGCTGTTTGTCGATCAACACGATGTCTGTTCTGTTAGCCATCACCTGTTTGTCAGTCTGGATCTTGAAGTCCCATAGGACCTTAGCTCGGTCATTCTCAACTACCTTAGGAGGTGTCTTCCATTTTGACCTTGGGACTTCCAGCCCATACTCATGGCAGATGTTCCTGTACACTATGACAGCTACCTGGTTGTGGCGTTCCATGTATGCACTTCCTGCCTGCATTGTACACCCCGCTGTTATGTGCTGTATTGTTTCAGAGGCATCTTTGCACAGTCTGCATCGGGGGTCCTGCCTGGTGTGGTAGACCCTGGCCTCTATTGATCTTTTACTGAGTGCCTGTTCTTGTGCTGCCATGATTAGTGCCTCTGTGCTGTCCTTCAGTCCAGCCTTTTCCAGCCACTGGTAGGATTTTTTGATATCAGCCACTTCTTCTATTTGTCTGTGGTATACGCCGTGCAGCGGCTTGTCCCTCCATGATGGTTCTCCCTCCTCTTTCTTGTCCTCACTTTCGGTTTTCTCCTGCCTGAGGTATTCACCAAGCCATTTGTCTTTGGGGGCCATCTTTCTGATGTACTCCTGGATCTTAGTTGTTTCATCCTGGACAGTGGTCTTGACACTCACTAGGCCTCGGCCTCCCTCACTACGCTTGGTGTACAGTCTCAGAGTGCTGGATTTGGGGTGGAACCCTCCATGCATTGTGAGGAGCTTTCTCGTCTTGATGTCAGTAGCCTCTATCTCCTCCTTTGGCCAGTTTATTATACCAGCGGGGTATCTGATGACTGGTAGGGCATATGTGTTGATCGCTTGGATCTTGTTTTTCCCATTCAGCTGACTTTTCAGGACATATATATATATATATATACATGTATATATATATATATATATATATATATATGTATATATATATATATACATGTATATATATATATGTATATATATATATGTGTGTGTGTGCGTGTGTGTGTATATGTATAGCTGTATGTAGGTCAAGCAAAGTTAAGTTGATGTGGAAAAACAGGGTCACAACAACAAACAAGGTAATCCATAGGAGTCCGATGGGATTTGTAGTCCATGAAGTATACTGCATGTTTGCTAACATATTTACTGTACCGCCGTCGCTGGTCATGATTTACTATGCTTTGCACTGATATAAATCTATTTGGCTAATAATATAGACATATTGTGAGTACTGTCCTGTGTTAACCTGAGAAGAAAAGCCTGAAGGAAAGTCTCAGTGGACAGCAGCGCTGGGGCCGGAAGCAGGGCGGGACCTTCGCCCCTGTATAAACATGGCCGCCGTCAAGTCCTTCGCAGCGTCAGGTACTGCGCTGCTTTAACAGTTGGACTTTAAGGAAGTAGCTGGTGGGGAACTTATGCAGTAACAGGTGTAAAGAAAAAAAATGTAGGCCATTAAGCGACGCATTTATCGATCTTTACGGTGATTTATCCGCGTGGGAGCGATACTAACAAACTTAATTTAGTAGTTTGCGTTAGCTAGCTAAACGAGCTAACGCCGAAGTCTTAACGTTAACTTCTGTCAACTTATTTTTAGCTAGCCACAAACTGACTTCTTATCGCCATGGAGGAGTGTCGTCGTTCACCCGGAGGAACTCGATGAATATTTCACACACGGAAGGTCTGGATTAAGTCAGCGACTGACTGAGGAAAACTTTCGGGGATTTATTTCCTTTCACTTGCTGGGGCGAAGCAATTGTTATTTTTCTGTTTGAGGACCAGTCACAGCGGAAAAACAATGTTTTCTGCCAAACCCATGAAACCAACCTTCAGGAGTTATCTTCCTCCTCCACAGGTCTGTTTGTATTCTGTCATAATTTTAGAAAGTTTAAATTTTAAATGTCATGTGCTTAATTCGGCGTGAAAATCCTGCTGTTTACAGTAAGCTGAAGTAGTGGAATGTGTTGCTTTGTTTTTACACATCTTCCTTTTTTGTGCTTGGACTATCTTGGGACTTTTAAATTGAACGTGTTTTTTTTATTGCACTTTCACAGTTATTTAAAAGAAAGAGAACAACATATTAAAGTACAGGCATGTTTAAAAGTTATGTACCCATTCGTTTTTGTCAGTAAATGTTCCACGTGAATCAGACTATTTCCTAAAACATCAGGATCTAATGTTCTCCATTCATTCAGTGGACAAAAAGTTGAAAAATATGCTAGTTTTATGTTTATGAACTATTAAAAAGCATGCACGTTGGTGCACTTTTTCTGTGTGAAGTGACGCATAAGGAAACGTGAAGCAATTACTTTAATGTAGGCCTATAAACTGGGCTTTCACTCCATCCAGACACAGTATTCTGTTATTTTCTTGATTTAAAATAGTTTATGCCTATAGAAGCACAAGCATCTCCATCTTTTCTTTTTGTTAAAGTTATTATAAAAAATAATTATAAAAAAAAAACTCTAAACAAAAGTTTTAGTTATTGATATTGGCAGATAAGGGCTCAAAGAAAAATATAAATAGATGTCAGCCAAGAAAAGTCAGTCAATCTTTATTTCTAAGATCTCCAAGTTGCTTTATAATTTTTTTTATCAGGTGAGATAACTTAAGCTTGTATGCATACAGACTTTGTTCACGTTAGGACTGAAACTATTTGATTTATCGATTGACCAATCATCAACTAATTTAGTAATCGATTAATCGTTAACTGGAGTATAGAGACTTTGAAATATGGCTTTAGCTCACAGAGCAACCCACTTAGAGCATTAACTATACCAAGATTGTAAACAAAACAAAAAATATAAACATTTTGCTTTTGAAATAAAAAACAAACAAACACTTTCTTCTGTCAATATGCTCTATCAACTCAAGTGGAAAAGTTTTCGTTAAGCTGAAAAAAAGCTGAGCTGGAAAATAATTCAATCAGTTGTGGCCCTAGTTCACCTTAAAAAAGAAACCCCCGAGTGATTGAATGAAAACTCCAGTTAGACTCGTTTTGCATACAGGTGTCTTGGTTTTCAGACACCTTAGATTAAGGGTTTGTTTACGTTTGTTTATGTATGTGTCTGGCAAAGGTTTTTCTATTTCTTTTTTTTTTTAAGAAAGATTTTTGCATCATGTAGCATATATATGTTAAAAAGTAGTACACAATTTCCAAGCTCTCAGTATTTAAAAAAGGTGTTTAAGCATCACACTGTAAGCAATGTTAGAACAGTTTTGATAGCTGGATAATATAGATCCATAGTAGTTCAATGGTGTTCCAAGTTTATCTCTCATTAATCATGCTTTATTGATGTATTAAAAAACAGGTACTGCACTTCTTTTTTACCTTTTTTTTTAATGCTCGGAGACAGTGTTACTTTTCTTCCCTTTCTAGTTGTAAACATGGTCAAGAGTGATCACTTTGTAAACCCTAATATTTTGTTTTTGTCTCTGCAGACGGATTTGAAGAGCAATATTGAACCGCCAGTTAAGTTGGAACCCAAGTTCCTTCCAGGTTAGTTCTTTTCCTGTGTTTTCTGCAGAACTGCACCACATTTTAACCAAACAGCTTCTAGTTAATCTGAGCCAAAAAAATTGGCTTCTTTTTTTTCCTGTACCATAAAACTCATAATAGGACATCAATCCTTGGCTTAAAAATGTTATCTAACTGTGCTGTTTACATTTAGTATTTACTCACGATCATCGCTGATTAACCTACCCCTTCCTGTCTTTGCTTCTTCGTTGTGGAAGTGAGATTCTGTTATCTGTTCTCAAGCGAGGTTTTAAGTATGGTCCTCTATCATTTCCCAAAGGCATTTCCTGAAACTTTTATCAAAACCCATCTAATTTCCTCTCTTTTGTTTTAGTTGCCAATCTAAAAAGCAAAAATTGTGACCAGATTTAGCTTATTGTATCTGATGCTAATCTAAACATTAATGCGAAGTACTGATTTTATCATTTTGTTGTACATTATTTTAGTGGCAATTTTAATCCCAAGTGACTTAATAGATGAAGTCAAAATAACCGGTTGCTGAGTGATGTTGTTTTTTAAGTATGTAAGGTGTGGCTCGCATAGGCACATCTCAGAAGTAGTTATTCCAGTCCACACAAAAGATTTATTCTTGAAATGTTTCAAACAGATTAAAAGAAGTGAGTCATACTATTAGATACAAGTTTAAGGGTGCTTTTTATCTGCTGTAATGCACTGCTGCAAATGCTAAAAGTAAAGATTTGTTGTTTAACACCTAATAGATTTTATCATTGATTTTTACAAACATCTGCTGCTTTTATGGCTCAACCCAGATTACCTACTTTGCATTAAGAATCTTTTTTTTCCCTACAATAAATCAAACTATCTTTAGTTGTCCTGTGATGGACTGTTGACCGGTCCAGGTTGTACTGTTCTTGTCACCCAGTGCAAGCCAGAGATAGGCCCTGTCTTATAAAGCCATTATGTCATTATTTGTGTAACAAACCTTTTTTGTAATGACTTTGAAGAGGGTGCTGAAATGTAGGTAGTATTCTGGCATATATCAAGAAATAGAAGTTAGTTTTGAAATCCTAACAAATTTCAGAATTTTTTTCGATCCAGAGCAGGTAATTTAAACTGATGAAAACATAGAGGCGTCACCCTGTTTTGTAGGGAAGCCAGACCAACAGCTTTCATTTTCAGCTTCATTTTTACTGCATACTTTTGTTTGGCCCCTCTGAAGCACGGCTTTGAAGTGACTATAGTTACTTCACCCTGCTGCCTCAGTTCCCCAAGCCTGAGGCGTTTGGTGATCATGTGATGGGTAGATGTTTGAGCTTTTTATGATAGTGTTTGAGTTAATGTATATAGAAAGGAATGCAGAGTTTATGGTCAGAATAATAAAGACTGACTAAGAAGGAAAGGGTGGAAGCTATGTTGTTTATATGTAAATGTGCTGTTATGAAGTGTTGTTTGACTTTCTGCTTAAATTTTTTTGTGTTATTTATGACCTTCTTGATATCATACTCAAGGCATTTTGTAGTTGTTTCTTCTTCTGGATTTTGTTAATGGGGTTTTTTGGGTTGCATTTTTCAATTTTACCAAGCTAAAGAAAATGGTTTAATGCATAGTAAAGCTTTTCTGTGAAAAACTAGAGAAGTAAAAGTCTCTTTTGGACTAATCAAACTTGCTGTTTGATTAGCCTTTTTTATACAGCCGCTCAATATAAGATAAGATAGACTTAATTGATCTCAGAGTGGAGATATTCACTTGTCTCATCGGCTCAATTGTCAAAAGAAGGTGCCAAAATGAGGGAAAGGTGCATGGAGTATGTACTTGTGAAAACTCATTGGGAGTTCATGCACACATTGCTATGAATTAGTAAAAAATCTTTTTATTCATCCTTGGTTTTATTTATAGCTTTTATTTGCTTTCAGGTAAGCTTGATCTAACATCTAGCTACCAATATATCTAACCTGCATCTGGTTCAGGTTGACAGTGCAGTTGTGCCATCCTGATAATAGCTCTGTTCTTACTGCTCATTTAGTCTTCTGTTTGTGAATTTTAGGAACATGGGCTAAAAAAAGGCTATTGATGACTGCATCTCAAAGCATTATTTTGGATGCCTCATTTGGTACTTATCTGAATGGTATCTAGTCTAACCCTAACCTGAAATTGTTTTTTTTTTTAAGGCTTAATATTTGTTGTTACATGTTATGTATCATTGTTGATCTGAATGCCTTTACCAGTTTTCTGTAGTATACTTGTACTGTTTGATTGCTGGACATTTTATTAATTTGCTGTATTGATCAGTGTTTTTGGCTTGCATCTGGCTTTCAGGAGAGATCGTTGTCAATGAGGCAAACTTTGTGAGGAAATGCATCAGCACTGACAGCAGCCAGGGTGACCTCTGGGGGAGGTTGATATGCACCAACTTTAAAGTCTCCTTTATTCCTCAAGACCCCCCACCAAAGCAGGTATTTATTCAGTTTTGTTTTGTAGCCATTGTTTATATGAAATGTGTTTTATTTTTTGATTGGGTAAAAAATGTACTTTCCTTATATAGTTTTTATGACAATATTTGGTGATCCTTTAGTGTTTGTGTCTGATATATATTTTTACCCCCTTGTAAATGCAACCTTATTTGTACATTGAGGCCATTTAGAATAGAGGAAGAGAAACTTCCTTGTTTGTGTTAGCACAAGAAGTGAGAGCTGACGTCATTTCCATCTATGTGACAGATTGTTGGCATGAGACAAAATGGAATCAGATCGTAACTCAGTATAAGGAACACAATGTTGCTACGATTATTGAACGGTGTCTGAAAGATGTAATTTGTTGTCTTTTAGAAATCCCAGTTGTCCCACCTGCTCCTCGGACAACATGACATATCCCTGACCTGCCTTGAGCAGGTAGTAACAGGTACATTCTGTTTTTTTTTTTTATTTATTTTTTTATTTACAGATATTTAGTTCTTCTTTGCATATTGCTGTACCTCAATTAATTTCCTTAATTGTAACAACAAAGCAAACCTGGCTACTAGTTTATTTGATCAAACATTAGCTGCAGGTTCAATCATTAACACCCAAGCAAAGGCATACAACTGCAGAGGTTATATTTTCAGAGGCCCCAATGCCTTTTTTTTTATTTTATTTTTTATATGGACATCTTAGCTGACTGGTGTCGGCTGTTGTTTTTCTTGGTCAGCAATCTGATAACACACAAAGTCGGGGAGAATGCAGTGTTCAGTTGCAGTGCAGCCTGGCTTACGTTTCATTATGCATGTCAGGTTGCTGATAATGCATAGGCGAACGGCCAGGAAAGAGTTGTTGAGTTATAGTGACAGAGGTTTTGATTTTCACCCGTTTCAACTGACTGTGTAACATCGGAGGTGTGATTATAAGAAAACTTGGAATAAAACCTTTTCAACTTTGGGGTACCAAAGTGTCGGGCCTGTACTTAGACTACGTTTATTCAACCGTGCTGTGTTTGATTGTTAATGCAATAAACTTTTTTAAAAGTTAGTAAACTGCTGTTAGTTTTTTTTTTTTTCCCTTCTGTACCTTTATATGCAAAATGGTTTTTGTTTGTTTCTAACAGTTAATGATACACGGGGGAAGCGGAAAGTGTTGGGCTCCAACAAGAAGCTGAAATTCAACCCAGCGGAGCTTATCTTGTACTGCAAAGACCTGCGTGTAATAAGATTCTGCTTTGATGAGGCCGGGCCTGAGAGTGCCAAAAAAGTGAGTGAAATACCAATTCATGTTTATGTTTATTTTGTTTTGTTTTTCTGACAAGGTTGCTTTGTAAATAAGATTATGTTTTTGGAAGATTTAAACTGGCCAATGGATAAACAATTTTATTAATCAATAAAATCTATATTTTTGCAAGATGTGAATATAAAGGCTAATATTTGGTTTAAACCTGTAAATATCATAAATGCTATTCCTGCACACATTATGTAGCTCAAGCAAAATTCTTCTTCTCCAGTCTTTAAATTTTCAGATTAAAGACTGATAAACATGGCTAACCTGGCCTTCAAGATGAACTCTTGCTGTCTTTGTGTTTTCAAACAAACACATTGGAATTCATCTAGTCATGCCCCAACTTAAACCATTCAGGACTAACCACAACTGGTTGGCTAATGCCGTGTTATGGTTTTAGGCAGGACATAAAGCTGTGACAAAAGCAAGTGCTGCCGAGCACACAGCCGGACAAAAAAAAAGAAAAATCAATATGGCAGGACAGGACGATATACTTGTAGTTAAAGGAAAATTCCGGTTTTTAACACTTTTAGCCCCTTTTCTGTAGTGTCCAGGATGAAATCGAATGATCGACACCAAAATTTTGACGATTGGTCCTGTCTCGGCTATTTGGCTCATGTAGAATCCCCCCCTGGCTGCTTCAGAATGGCTTGCATAGTGCATGTCAGATAATGTCCTTAAAACAACCTTAAACGTTCTTTTTTTAAAATATGCTACTCACCGGGTCGTCAGCGCTGTTCAATGACGTTCCAAAAAAAGTTTCGTGAAGAAAAACCGTTCCTGTCTTGTTTTATTTAGCATTTTGTAAATCCCAGAACTATTTTTTCCTATACATCACAACCGCTTATAAACTTCCGCTTCCCGTTCGAATCTGAAGCGTTGCACACTCCAGACCACTAGTTGGCGACAATGTCTCTATACTTTGGGATCAGAAAACATCAGTCTAGATTCTCTCCACAGTAAAGTTTGATAAAAGAATCCTGTTTGTAATTTTTTATGTAAATATTTGTATATACTGTTCGCCAACAAGCAATTAAACCCAATCTGTTTAGTTCTAAAAGCTATGGTGTGCACTTCACAAATAAAACTGAAAACATTTCTGAGAAATATTTTTTCTTTTATTGACAAAAGAATGCCCAGAAGCTCAATGCAAAGTATAGAGTGCAGGTAGGTAAGAACAGTAGAAATGTTATTTCAAGAGGGTCAGAATATGTCCTCTATCTCTCTGGGGGTAAACCCCACATACTGTCCAGTGGGGGATGGGAACGTATCCCTAATGGCCCACTCCACGCAGCTGGGTAACGCAACTCGATGTCCTTTTCCCAGAGGTTGACCTTTCAGGGCCCACTCAAGAATGACACGATACGCCACAAGTCGATATTGCCTACGGAATACAAAACACAGAATAGACTACGTCAGTAACTGGTAGGCTAATAATCTAGCTTCATGTAAATACGGTAGTAGAAATGGACATCTGAATATAAAATGTATTTCATCAGTAACTTACCTCCCTGACAATTGGCCATTTGGTCCTTCGGGTGCGTGGCGTTTTTTCCAATTGATTTTAGGGACCCAGAAGAAAGTCTCAAGCCCAGGTTTGTTGAGTAGTAGGCGCACTTCATTTTCAGTGATGCACACCGGCGACACATCTGTCTCGTCAACAGAGACATTTAGCCTGGCCATACCAGTCGTGACAATAAGGTCCCATTCTGTGCAGCACATGCTTTCTTCCTCAGTTGGCATCTGTCTGCACTTTCCACACGCACACCACCAAGTTCCTGTGGTTCGCTGGGCCGCTTCAGCCGTAGCTTCAGGCTCCTCTGTAGCTCTAGCTTCCATCTCGATCTCCATTTGACGAAGCTCCTCCTCAGTATATTCCGGTTCAAAACGGTATCCTCTACCGTCAAACTCAAAGTCCAATAAGTCCTCCTCAAGAATCCACCTTTCGTATTCCATTTTCAGAGTTTTTTAAAGTGTTTAACAGAGACGTTAGCACCTCGACGTCGGAGTACACAGTGAAGCAGAAACACTTGGGCCTTGCGAAAAGACTACAACTAAGCGTAAACAGGCCCCATTTCCGTTTCCGGTGGCGGAGGGATATTGACTATTCCAACAGAACTCAATGGGATTTACAAAATGCTTAATAAAACACTACAGGAACGTTTTTTCTTTACGAAACTTGTTTTTGAACGTCATTGAACAGCGTTGACGACTCGGTGAGTAGCATATTTAAAAAAAAGAACGTTTAAGGTTGTTTTAAGGACATTATCTGACATGCACTATGCAAGCCATTCTGAAGCAGCCAGGGGGGGATTCTGCATGAGCCAAATAGCTGAGACAGGACCAATCGTCAAAATTTTGGTGTCGATCATTCGATTTCATCCTGGACACTACAGAAAAGGGGCTAAAAGTGTTAAAAACCGGAATTTTCCTTTAATGCTATTACATCTGTTTTGTCAGAATCCACTTCTCTTTCATCTTTTAAAGAGAAACAGCAAGGGCATAAGGGCTTAATTGTGTTTTCTCATGGGGTCAGCTGCTATTACATTTGTTAACCGTGATTGGCTAAAACCAATGTTTGATAAGTGCCCCTTTACCCAAACAGCTCAGAAAGTTCAGCTGAATGCACCTTCTTTACCTTTTCCTCTTTCTTTATAAATAATATTTTTTTTAGTCCCACCTTTGAAATCCGGGTCTACTGACTTCTATCCAGATTAATATGTGTGTACACATAGTATAAAAAGCTAATATACTATCAGTCTGGCTTTTCAGGTTATTTATGCTGTATTCTAGGTCTAACTATTTTGGGGGTGAGGGTCACTGCCAAACCTTATTTCATTTCTTCACCACTTTGCAATTATTACAGCTGTATGAATAAGTTCATTTTTTCTTTGGCCAACGCGCTGACCAATGAGCGCAACTGATTGTGGCGTAGTAAGTGCGACAGAACGCTGGTGGGGGAGTGTAAAACGGCGAATACATCCTTTTAAAAAATGAATGAGCGTAGAGCCTCTTCCTGCTCATGTTAAAAGGAAAACCCCAATCCTTCCGAAACTGATTCCAAAGCTGATGTAAAAAAAATCGCCATCCGAGCCAGCGGTCCTTCACACACGACTATGCCGAGAGAGGGCTGCTGCAGACGGCCTGCGGTTAGCCCTGGCTGACATTAGCCTCGGAGGCCCACTGTTTACCGCGGTCCTCTCACCTTTGGAAATAGTATTTTTATTTTTTTTATTATGCATTCAATCGGTAAATGGACCATATAGTGACGCTTTAAAGTATAATATTCTCGCCTTAAATTATCTTTTAAAACATACTTTTATTGAACAACATAAAAGAAAAATTTTTACTTTCTATTGAGCACTCCATTGAAAGCGGCTGCTGCCGCAGTGCATGCTACTGTTCGATAGTTGTTGCCATCTTCCTTGTCGTGCGGCTTTGTAGTCACTCCCTCAAAACCCCGCCTGCTTTGTATCCAGAAATTCAAAATGCATCCCTGCGTTGTGATTGGCCCGCCAGTTTTAGTTGATTGAGGCTGCAGCACTCACAGGCAACAATGATTTTGGCTGCTGGTGGGTGGGGCTAGTTTACTAGGCTTACTCTTAACTTTACTCTGTATTTTTCAGATATTTTACTATATCCCTATCAGGGTTTTTTTTAGACAAAAAGGTAGAAAACCAATGAGTATTCACTTTAAACATTTGGAACCAAAGCAGCGATGATATCTGGCCCTCACAGATGCGGAACTGTTTGGACTTCAGTAACAAACTATGCTGAGAGGGTCTCAAATCCTGCAAATCCTGACGTGTTCTCCTGCTGAAGCCAGTACATGTGCTGTTCAGTTTGCCAGAGAGCATATTGGTGATGCAGAAGAGAACTGGGAGAATCTATGTGGTCAGGTGGATCCAAGAAATAACTTTTTAGCACAAACTCAGCTTGTGCTTAGAGGAGGAAAAATGCTGAGTTGCATCCCAAGACACTATACTTACTGTAATACATGAGGGTGGAAATATCATGCTTTGTTACAGTTTTTGTCTGCCAAGGGGATAGGGATCTTCTTAAAGGACTGATGAAAGGGGTCATGTATTGTGAGATTTTAAAACCAAACCTCCTTTCATCAGTGAGAGAATGAAGATGAAACATGGCTGGGTGTTGCAACATGACAATGATCTGCTTACAATACTATACAATACACTGCTTGGACAATGAAGGAGTGGCCCCTTTAAAAACCTTTATAAGGTCCTCGGGGGATGTAGCCTGTGTCCAGACCTCAAGAGAACAGAAAATTTATGGAGGGAGTTGAAATTCTGTGTTTCTCAGCGACAGCTTTACAGCAGATCTGCAAGGAGAAATGGGCCAAAACACAAAGCTTGATTTTTGTTATTGACCTAATCCTTAATTTCCACCAAAATTTACAAATCAATTCTTTGAAAATCAATGTAATTCCCTGTTTGTTTTTTTATTTTTTTTTTCTCATTTTGTCTCTCATATGTGAAGTAAACCTATGATGGAGATTACAAAAATATCTAATCTTGTCGAATTAGTGGCTGACTAAAAATATTTTAGCCCAGCTCTATATACTGTGCTGTCCAAATAATTGGACGTCTCCATGTTTTTATATTTGCATATAAAGATTCAAACATATTTTGCACCTAAAGATAAAAAAAAGCCTTACTTTGAGGTCCTCTTTGCTCATCCCCATGGCTTGAATTATTATTTTTTGTTTTTGTAGTTTTTTTTTTTTTTGTCTTGATGTCACAGGTGTTTGTTGTGTTGCCTTGAAACATGTGACGTTAAACTTCCGTTTGTCTCGAATAATAGAAATCAGTGGTTTACCATATGATGACATCATCTTAAATAATCGTATGTGATTATTTCAAGAGTTGGCAGTTGGTAAAGAGTCTGGTAATTAAATGAACTTGACATTTTATGTTATTTTCACCTTTTCTTTTTTAAAAGCTGTTATGAATAAGTCAAAATTAATGCATTAGACTTTCTGCTCCATATTTTTTCTCTAAGAATTAAAACTTGGTTTTTCTTTTCGTTATTGCATTATGCTCCAAAGAACCTCCTTCCCTGAATACAGTTTTTGAACTCTGCATAGGCATAGTCAGCCTGTCTGCATTTGGCACAGTTGGTGTGTATTATAACCAGTTTTTACTGACGGCTGGGTGACATTCCATTTCAGTGGAAGTGGGTGATTTGTCAGGATGTGTGTTCACTGGCCAAACAACAATGTGACGTTGAGAACAATGCTTATTCGGGGCAAAGGAAGTAGAATTTGATCCTGATAGTAGGAGGACCTGGCAGTTTAAGCCACCTCCATCGCCAAAAACGAAATTTTAAATTCTTATAATCAATCCTTAGCTTTGGAGGGTGAGTTTTGTCTGTTGTGATGCAACAAATGCTGTATTATTCTTTCAAACAATCCTAAAAATGAATGTTTCTATTTAGATTTCTATTTAAATACTACATATTTTCATGCACACATCCGCATCAGAATTTCCTCTCATGATCCAGTGAATTTAATGCATAAGGCTCATAGCTATTTACTTTGCAGCTTTGTTAGAAAACCAATGGGTTATATAGTGCAGTGTTTCCTTAGTGACATCCATGAATTTAATCAGCTACATGTCTGATCTCCATTGTAACTATTTGTGAGCAATGTACCATAGGTGTTGGAGCACAATACGCTTACACCAAAGATGAAACTCCTGGGGTAACTGTTTTGATTAGAGAAGCACAACTTGCTAGTTTTACTTAACTTGACAGATATGAAGCAGTTAGCAGTAGATGTACACAGAATAAAACAAAGAAGGTTTTCTTTTGGAGGAGGAACTGAAACAGAGTGTCTGCCCTCATACTGTTTGAGAGTCTGTTGGTGAGCACCATGTATGTAATTACAGTATGAACCTAAAACAAGTTTGGGTTCTTTTTTTAACCCTTTGACATATGGAACTTGCTGTTCTATAATAGCTCGTTTTACTCAGGAAATTACAGAGCAGGGAGCAGCCGTTTTCCTATAGAGACAGACAGACAGACACACACACACACACACAGAGTCTTTTTCTGTGTCCTGTCGTTTTATTCACAGCTTTACTACTGAATAGAAGTCCTTGTTAGACCCCAATAGAGCCTCTTTCAATGAATCTGCTAGAGTCAGGGGCGGGGCACTGTGGAGCCATAACAGTGCCCACCGCTTTATCAGACATTTGATTTTTCAGGCCCTATTTTGTTGAATAAACCTTATGCCCCTGAGTTCATGGTCAGAATGAGCCTGGCTTCCGGATCTGAAGTGTTTCAGTGAAAAACAATAACTTTTTAACCTCAACAATTAGCTATCTCTATGTTATTGCTGTTGCAGCAACAGTGCTTTTTGTCCTTAAAATAATTTAACCTCTGTTGAATACAGGTTTGCCTCGCCATTGCGCATTATTCCCATCCTGCTGATCTCAACCTGCTTTTTGGCTTTGAGTATCAAGGACTGAGATATCATCATTACAAAGGTTAATTATGCTTTTAAAATACTTTTTGCTTTCATGTGTATTGCGAGCCTTCATTTCTTTGTAAACTTTCAAGATTAAAGCGTGTATTATTTTTATTATTCCAAGGGGACCTAGTCAATGGCTCCACCCCAAGAGGAGGTATACAGACTCCAATATTTGACTGCCCCTCTGACTGGGATCGAGAAATCAAGAGAACAGCGGCTTCAGAGTGGAGGGTTTGCTCCATCAATCAGAAATATATCATCTCTGAAAGGTGCTATGATCATGTTTCCTTTGAGTGTAAAAGAATATCCCTTTTGAAGATTACTTTAAATGGTGTATATTTATTTAGATCATTTTTTCTAAGGTTCTTTTCTGAGATAAAAAAAATAACTTGCATATTTAGACTGTTTAGAACAAAATACATTTACCAAGATTGGCCCTCACATTAAAGATTTTTTTCCCATACAGCAAAACAGTAGTTTGCTCAGAAATGTGTCTCTGCTTTCCCTTTTATTATCGCATCTGTGAAAAAAAACGCCGACTATTGGAAATTAAAAGATTTTGCAATAATATTTTGAATCCTTTTTAAATCCTACAGTTTGCAGTGCTAGAGGATGGTGACAAATTAAACTGTAAAACAGGAAAAATGAAAGATTAGCTCTACTAAGTCTTTAGTTTAAGCTTTCCTATGTCCTCTGGATATGGTTTAGTTTCTATAAACGATTTCTGATTTTTTTTAAAACCTTTTTTTCTCTTTAATCTTTTCATTCTTCTAGTCTTCCAGAGTATATTGTGGTCCCCGTTTCTCTAACGGATCAGGATGTGAAGTCATACTCACTATCGTTCAATGATGGACGTGCCCCCGTAAGTATGCTCCTATCTTTTATTAACCTTCTGCTTTTCAGCAAACGTTATTTCTTCACTTGATTACTTAATTCCACCCAGACTTCCAATGGCAGTGATTTGTTTTATTTTTGTTCATTTTCCTCTCCTTTGTTGGTTTCTTGTTACAGCTGTGGTGCTGGAATCACAGGAATGGGAGCGCTCTTGTCCGCATGGCGGGCTCAACAGAGCCGCTGAATCAGAGGAAAACTGAGCAGAAGTAATAATAATTGATGTGCTTCTTTAAACAGTTTTAATTTCATCGATTGATACCAGACTTTATCCTTATCTAGCTAATCTCTGCTGCAGTCTGCTTTTAAAAAAGTTTGTAATGTTATGTTTATTCATTGTTGATATTTAACAGACAAATGGCACTAGTCCTGTACTTCATCTGCCTCTTCCATTGATCTGGTGTCTTGATAATCTTTGTTGTACAACCACTGCAGATGCTGAGTTCTTGTGAACTTTTGTAAAGGGTTATAACCATATTTCTGATAACTGAATTAGTCTCCTGTTTTGTGTGTTATTTATAGGATATTTACAGCGATCACTAAAAGTCATCCACAACGCAGAGAAGTAACCGTGTCAGATCTGGACAAAGCTCTTCCTAATATCCAGGACATCCAAAGTGCCTTTGTTAAAGCACGACAGATCTGCACTTTAGGTGAACTTTCTTCTGACAACATCTGTAGTTCAAATATTTCCTATGCAACGTCTTGATGAGGTGTAGAATAAATGTCTTTGATGTTGAAGCAATGTGTTTGTTCTCAGTTTTACAGATTTATTTTTTGTTTTGTTTGTTTTTCCTGGGTAGACCCTTTTGAGGAATCAGAGGAGAGATGGCTTTCATCCATTGAGAATTCACGGTGGCTTGAGTATGTCAGGTACGCAACAAGGCAGCAGGACTATTGGGCTTCTAACTGTATCAAAATATCCATATTGGAGTAGCTATCATTAAGTAGCAGCATCATTTTTTAACCTTCTTATTAATGGTGTTCATGTTCTTTTCCATAAGTATGTTGATGTCTCTCTAGCAATCTTTCTCTATCCCTATCTTTCAATCACCATGTTTCTTGCTTTCTCACTGTCTCTTTATTTTTGCTATCTCTCTCATTTATATGTTTTTAAAAGCTATATGTTTTTGTTTTGTGAACCAGGATGTTTTTAAAGTTATCTGCAGAGGTAGTGTACAGCTTGGATGGAAAGAATGTCTCTGTCATTCTTCTGGGTAATATTCTCTTTTTCTGCAATTGATTCACAATTTTTGTTGCTCCTTAGTCTTCCAATTGCATGTTTAACTACATTAAAAAATATGTCTGCCAATTCTTTGTGCAGAGGAAGAGGACAGAGACCTGAACTGTGTGGTATCGTCTCTGGTGCAACTCATGTTAGACCCTCACTTTCGCAGCTTGAATGGCTTTCAGAGTTTGGTGCAGAAGGAGTGGGTGATGGCCGGCCATCGCTTTCTGGACAGATGCAACCATTTGAAGAAAAATGAAAACAAGGAGGTGGGATTTACATTGTTCTAGCCATAGAGAACGTGGTCTTAGAAGACATGCTTCCTTTTCTAATCAGTTTCTTTCTCTTTGTTACAGTCTCCACTGTTCACCTTGTTCCTGGACTGTGTGTGGCAGATGACGAACCAGTACCCAGCAGCATTTGAGTTCACAGAAGCCTATCTGACTGTGCTGAGTGACAGCATGTGGATCCCTTTCTTCAGTACTTTCCTCTTCAATTCTTCTAAACAGTGTTCTCAAGTCTTGCAGGTGAGAAACTTTTGTATATAATTAAGCATTTGTTGGCTTTGTTGAATGTGTTTTCAAGCATTGCACCATATGCTGTGCTGTTTCAATAACAATTTTAAATGGAATAATGGGAAACTAAATGAGTATGTTTATCTGAATGTTTATTTTGAAAGTTTTACATATTTATTTAAACCAGCACACTTTATCCAGCCACTTTACCAAGCCAGCTCAGAGAAATAGTCCCTCCAGCGTGTCCTGGGCCTTCCACCACGCCTCCTACCAATAGGACATGCCTGAAACACCTTCCAAGGGAGGCGACCGGGAGGCATCCTGAACAGATGCCTGAGCCATCTCAGCTGGCTCTTTCGCCGTGGAGGAGCAACGACTTTACTCTGAGCTCCTCCCGGGGAACTTTGTTCAAAGGGTGTGCCCAGCCACCCTGCCAAGGATACTCATTTCGGCCACTTGTATTCGCGATCTTGTCCTTTCGGTCATTAACCAGATCTCATGACAGTAGGTGGGGGGAGGAACGTAGATTGATCGGTAAATCGGGAGCTTTGCGCCCCCCGACTCAACTCCCTCTTCACCACGACAGTCCATACAGCGACCGCATCAATGCCGATGGCGTGCTGATCCATCCATCGATCTCCCTCGTGTACAAAACCATTTGTTTCTTTGTTTCATATAAGTTTTAAGGATATATGGTGTATTACACAAACTCTTAATTTTGTCTTTACAGGACTTTGCCAAGAACAAAGCCATCCCTCCAACAGAAGACCACACTGTTATCTTCCCTCCTGTGTGGAAATGGTCCCAGCAGTTCTCCAGCAGAGATCAAACCCTCTTTAATAACCCCATGTATGTTGGTAAAGGAGCTGCCTGTGTTCAGAATGGAGAAGTCAAAAGCTTTCAGCGCTCAAAGGTATGCAAGAGGCTGTAACTAGCTTTACTTTATAAAATCCATTTAAGAGCAACGCATAAGTGCATGCAGAAAACTTTTCATTTGGCTCTTGTAAAGCACATTCTAAGGATAAGTACAAATACAATTGCCCGTAGCCAAAAAGCTGATCTCTCAACACTAAACAAAACACCTGTGGATACATTACTGAAACTCTGTTTATTATGTTGATCTTAGCCAGAGATTGCTCTGTGTACAAAACAAACTAAGCATCAGCACTATTGAATCCTACTACCAGGCAGATGGCTTTTGGCTGACAGATGTAGGAAACTTGAATTTCTATGAGAAAACATAGACTTTTGATTCAATAACCTGTCATGCATGTTAATGGCTGTTGTGGCAGAGATATTTCTTCTTATCACATTATGTGGTGCCTTAGCTCTCAGCACTGACTTCCTTTTGCGAGATGTTCCGTTTCCTTGGTGCAGCTGTGCCTGTTTGTTAAAACGGCTTAAGTTGCTTTAAATTGATCTTAACATGCACATGAAATTTCACAGTTGAGATGATTGAATTAGGTAAACAAACTCCTAACAGAGCCAGGTGGGCCTTTAAAGAAAACTAATGCTGCAAATCAATTTGTCAAAAATAGTTAATAATTTGAGCTGCTCAAAAAGGTTTTATATGAGCTAGACTCGTGTGATGAGGCTCGTGTAGTCAGCAAACTACACCCCACTATCATTACCCCTGTCTAGTACCAGACACCTTCAAATGTTTGGGGTTTTTTTTTGTTTTATTTATGCACCGATATGTTTTTCTTCTGGACTTCAGACCTAAATCTAGTCTTATATTCTTCCTCCTACAGAAAGCCTTCAGTTCTACTGTGCGAATATCAAGCACGTCACAGCGTAATGGACTCAAGGGTGAGGAGGACACATTGCAACGGCGGGGCTCTCTGATCTCAGGTCTAAGGGGGGATTTTTCTCCAGTGAAAGATGAAAGCCCGGCAGAACGGTTCTTTAGGGACTGGTTTTCTCACCCTGCAGACTTGCAGGGGGTCCTGATTCCCCTGGTCCTGCCCTCACATGTGGTTCTCTGGAAGTTGTTCTTTCTGCGCTGGGTTCTTGAAGCTTGCATCCCAAAAGGAGGCCCTGCCACAGTCTACCACAAAGTATCCCAACTGGTTGATGAAATTGATACACTGCAAAGCAAGCTCAGGCAGTACAAAGGTGCTAGTCCACATAGCACCCCTGTTCCAAGTCCAAGCGGACCCCCTCCAGGCCAAAGAAGGATGTATTTTAAGGCTAGTTCTGCAGATGAACCCCCTACATCTCCCAATGTCCTTAACTCATCTTTTCCATTCAACCCTGTGGGAAATCTGTGCCGGCGAGGTGTTCAAGGGACTCCGATTAGCAAATTTCTGAATGGGGCAAAAACCTGGCTCTCTACAGAAACCCTGGCTAATGACACTTTCTAATGGACTTCTGTCCTAATTAATCGGAATACTTTCCACAACCTTTAGCATATGTTCCAATAAATATGCTAACAAATTAAAAATAGCCTTTTTAGGATTTCAAGTTTTGCACACCTTCATTTATTATTACTTGCACCACTAATGCTGCTCTAAATCTGAGGTCATTCCTTATTATAGCTATAATTCTTAAAACCAAATCGTTGTCACCAAAAGGGCATATTTCGTTTGCGCTAGTAACTCATTACTGCAAGGTCCTAACTGTAGGGAAAAAAATAAAAGTTTTAATCTGGTCTTTTATACAATTAAGCAAAAGAAACAATTATATTTTACCCTTCAATACATAATAGTCGAACTACAAGCATTTGGGAGTTTTATCAGGGTGGTATACCTTAACCATTACATTCAAAGTTCATTCTCCAATCCTTTGTTATTTCCTTTCTGTTTTATGTCACTGTAGCATTGCTATCAGCTAAATTAGGAAACACTCATTTTAGTGTAGCAGCACTGATGCAATTCTCTGATCAGATTCAAATATATGTGGATTGTAACTACCAGCTAACCCAAAATCTGTTCAGTGGTGAAGATAGAAGATATCTGGCCTGTATGAATGTAATATAGGAATGAGAAGCAGTTTGCTGTAATTGTATTTTTTTAAATGGCTCTTTTACAACAAATGGTGGGTTTTCAGGGTCTGACCTTGATTGTTTTCTGGCTTAATGTTTCTGTTATCAAAGTGTGTGTATTGATAATGGGTGAAGGAGCTGTGGGAACTTAATTCTGTGGTAAATATTTCTTCTTTTGCGTTGCAAGGTGTTTACAGATCTCTCTTTATTTTTTCTTTTTAAACATATGTGCCTTCTGGCAAGGCACTGAGAGGAAAATGTTCCCAATGGAGGGCAGCCAAATTAGCAATTATCTGAAAAGGGACAAATTCTTTAATTCCAATAAGTTCCAGGTTTTGAATCCAATCTTTCAAAGCCTTATTTTGACATGGGCTAAGATGCGATATCTTAAAAAAAAAGGTGCATTTTCTTTTGTTCTGACATGGCCCAACCATCACATTTATTTTGCAATCCACGGCAGAATGTGGGTGAGATACAGAGAAGTCTGAAAGTGTTATATGGATACTTGTTTCAGCAGCAGATATTTTTGTGAACATACTCTGATGATCATTACCTATTCAGAAAATTAAAAAAACAAGCTGAAGGTAATTCTATTCTCAGGAAATTTAAACTCTGCTTCTGCTCTCTATCGGATTGTACACCATAAAATGATTTCTCCCTGGTTTATTACCAGCTAAGCAAGGACTTTTTTTTGAGACTCTACTGTAGAAATATATAATCCAGTCTAGAGAAACCAGCACAGTCTCAAATGTTTGAATTGGAAACCTGGACCACTTGCACCAATTGTTTTTTTTTTTTTTTTTTTTTATAAATGTTCTTTAATCCTGCATCGCTAGATTAAATGACAATATACAGGAAACTCTTCACTCTTTAGCAATAAATAGTTCAGGCGTTTCTTATAGTTTCATCTAAGTGCAAACTTGCTCCCCGCAAATGCTATTAATTGCACTTTTTTTCCAAATATAGAATAGATTATAATAAAGAAACTGTTGAACATAATTTTGGCAAATTATAAGTACTGTATATGTTTGAGTTAATTTTGATTAATGGTACTAAATGAATCTTCATTCTTGGTTTAGTCTTTGTATTTTATGGAGATGTATTTATATGCAGTTTTTCCACTAACTTACATTGTTGCCCTCTGCTGTAATTGTATGATGGTTGTGCCTCTGTGGCACAGTTTCAGATTGATGATCAGCAGATGTAATTATTCACTTATGCAAATGTTCTCAAAGATGGAGGCAGTTACTTCTGGACACCCTTTGTGCCTTTTTTTTTGTAACAATATTCTGTTGAGCCGATTTTGTTTCTAATACTTGTGACTTAACAGAGCTGTTAATGTACTAGAATTCAGGGGGTTTGCACTGAAGCTGTTTTTCCTAACTGAACATGTAGCTCAAATATGTATACCAGCAACAAATCATTATATTAGTTTTTGAATTGAAAAGTGTTCTGTATTTTTTTTTCCCCCTCTTAACTCTGCTAACATTATCAAATATAGGAGATAAAGGCATCCTGGCCCAGATGTCACGAAGAAAGCGAATAGATTACAATCTTATTGATATGCATATGAGATTACTGTATGGAGCTGTTCTAATATTAGCCCCTGACTTGAGATTTGACACCCTGTGTTTTATTTTCCATGGACCTAAATGAAGTACCCACACATATTACGAATTGTTGAGTATGTTGTCAAAGGGAAAAAAAAGCACAGAGTGAATAAAGCAACTCTAAATAGAAGGACTTTAGGTGGAACAGTTTTCAGCACGGCTACCTCTTACCAAGAGAGCCTTGAGTTCAGAGTGTCTGACCATGGTTATTCTATATTATACTCAACTCCACACACACACATCATAGCCTGTTGGACATGGGCAACAAACACCAAGTGAATCTGGAAAGATTTGACATTTAACAAAAAAAAAAATTTATTTAGCACCATTGCAGGAAGTAATTAGTCACACCTCTCTGTCAAATAATTCAGGATGCTGAATTTGTCTTTTATTTTCTCACAGCATCTATTTTTAGCACATTGCACTACTGAAAATGCATACACCTGGTGACACCATTATTATTTATGTCAGTGGTCTTTGTGGTGCTTGAACCATTCCTCTGAGTGCTATTAATCTATTAAACCCAGTTCAAGAACACAGACTCCAGTTTAAATTGCAAGGATTTGGAGGCCAAAAAAAACTAACATTTCTATTAAAATATTTAAATGTCTGTTTCTATGGATGAAAAATAAATTTTCTGTTTTCAACCAAACAAAGAACATGTTTAAATCAAGGTAAAACTTTTTTTTTTTAATCTCTCATACAGTAGGGTAGGGAACACAGACTGAAAACCCCTTTTCTGTGTTCTTATGTGTTTATATATATATATATATATATATATATATATATATATATATATATATATACACACACACACACGGCAGTTTCCTCCATGACACCTCTCCAGCTCCCCCTGTTGTTTGTCCTTTTAAGCACATGTAATGGAGGATCTTTAGGGTCACTTTGAAACTTCAGAATTTTGCCTTTATTTATGAAAGTGAGTTACCTTAATTTTGTGTAGATTAAAGCACAAGGTGTTCTACTTTTATATAAGACAAATTTTAAATTTCTAGTTATGACCACACCCCAAATTGAGTGCAACCTCCTGAGATTGCTCAGTTTTAAATTTGCTTTATATTTTCTGAACCTTTTTTATAACCCCTTTTTTTTCTTAAACTGCAATTAAATATTGACTATGATGATATTTTATGCCTATTTTCAATATAAGAAATCAACAGATCCCAAGACTAGAATTGTAGGAGAGCTGCCAACTTCATATCCTAAGTGCTTATACAGGGTATTTTCTAATATTGATATAATGTACAGTAAACTTAAGATAAATAATTGTGGGCTCATCATTTTGGTCCATTTTGCAGCATGAACACAAAAGTAAAGTCAGAAGGCACACATATTTTATCTTTTTAGTTCTGGGCCAAAATAAGGAACCACTAAAGCACGTTCATCTTACCCTTAGAGAAGCCTGCATGTATACTTTATATTAATAGATATCTCTCTGCTTTTTTTTATCACTACTTGTGGCCAACGACTTGGGTGTTTGTGCAACGTCTTGATAGTCATTAGATAAAGCCCATCACATATTTTGGTACTCCTTGTAAAGAGGTAGAAAAGAAAATCACCTTTTATTGCTATAGAATAATCCCTCACTATGTTTTTTTTTAATAAGAAATGCACAGATGCATTACATATTATCAATATAATCAAGATATTTTTCAGATAATTACAAAATGTGAAACTCTGAGCTCCTTTACATAGTGACACATACTAGTTTTTTTTTTTTTACGTATTTGTCAGATAATGGCTAAGACCCAATAAAACAACAAAAAATGTGTTTCTTCAATTAGAATATTAACGTTTAAAAAAGCTCTTATTTTCTTTAAAGGATCAAAGTGACATTTTATGAACATGAAAAGATAAATGGTTTAATTGGCAAGACTGCCAACTTATATCCTATCAAACCTCTCCACAGAAGGATCATCCAGGAAAGGGCCTGGAGGAGATGCAGAAGGTATCGAGTGTATCAGGACTTATAGCTTCAAAACCCACTACAAGTAGATATCCAGGACATGGGTTGCTGTAGCTATACTACTATATATATATATATATATATAAAAAGCTGTCATATATGGACGCACTTTATATACTGCACCTTTGTCTTCCTTCGGCACATTGTTCTTCTTTGACTATTTGTGCCGATGTAGTGAGTAAATTTCTCCACAGTGAGATCAATAAAGTCAATCAATCAATGAATCAATCAGTCCTTTAAGCCACTCCTGAACTAGGGACATACAGAAGCAGCGATGGCACACCATGTTTTCTCAAGTATAAAGTCGCCCAAACTGTCAAAGGGAACGTTTAGGGCATTTCATTCTTAATTTTATTTTCCATCAGAACTTGGTACCTACCGACCCTGCCAAGAATATCTTCTCTAATTTGGTATCCTTCAACTTAAAGCTGCTCCTATAAAAATACCTGAGTTTCCTTACCCAGCCAGCAGAGCTGCATGCTTATACTGTATACCACTAGTGTTGGTGTGGCAGTTCGGGGGTGGTGGTGGTTGACTTCTCTAAGCACTGGATGCATATATTGTGGAATACATTGCCATACTTTGTTTTTAAATTGATTTCTATCTAATAATTATGGTTTAGAGAAATTGATGCTTTCACTAGCTTTGGGCCATAATCATCACTTTATAAATAACAAAATGTGAATCTTGAAGTTGTAGTATTTGTGTAACAAAACCATATGATCTGACCAACACTTTTAGCTTTAACTTACTTAAATAAACCATATTGGAAATTTACTCAGACGCATATGAAGCATATAGTATCAACATAATTATATTAAAAATAATTATTATTGTAGTGGTGATGGTTTGCCAGACCAAACATCTAATAAAAGTTAAAATTAAGCCACCACTAAGGCACTGGGGTCAAGTTTTTATACGCAGGCAAAAAGAAGTTTCAATGTCTAGTCTTGATGATGGTTAAAGAGTACTTTTCTTTTGTCCTCCCTTTTCTTGCACTGGTAAAAACCATTGGACCCTGCTGGTCCTTTCCCAGGCCCCTACACTTATAGAAAGTGGACTGATCCACATCACTTCCTGTCATACCTCAGAAAAAACAAACAAACAAATAATAAACCACAGATAAATAGAATCAACAATTATTAACCTGGAAATAAACTCTGCAAAAAATATACATTTAGGAATTAACAATTCAGATGGACAAAGAAATAAAGAATAAAGAGCTCCAAAAATTATTATTATTAACTTCTTCTTTCCACCTATTTTTATTCTGTCTTTTCTTCATGTGGTGAGGCTTGGAGTAATGGCAGTGACTTCTTGTTATGTCCAAAAAAAGACGGTTACGATAAACCTTGACATATTTAGACAAGTGCACAGTCTTTAATGGACATTACACACCATGGCTTGGAAAAACAGGAAATTGAATAAAGAACTGACGTCATTCGCGAGCGCCTTTGCTGGCCTTTGAGATGGGCTTTACTCGTTAGCCTTGATTTCCCCCCCTTCCAATCACCCCCCCTTCGCATATTCACCTTTATTTTTATTTCAAAGAAACGTCCGTCCGCGATGACATTAGAGGGTAAGTGTGCAACATGAAACAACGCAAACACTTTTAGGGTAAATTAGCATTTTTTGACATTTTAGCTGTGACTCAGACTCTTGTAGCTTTAAGTTAGCTTTGTAGCTAACTAGCCTCCTCCTCGATGTTCACAGATAAACTTGTTACGTTAACAGAGTAAACTTATGTTGTAACAGACATACTTTGAAATTTTTTTTAATAATTAGGTAAATGATTGTCACCCGACACCCTTAATATTTTGGGGTAAAAGTATATATTTATGTGTAAAAGTAGCTAGCTAACTTTAGCCAAGTGAGCTTGGAGGCTAACGATTAAAGAAACTGACCTTATGACTAAGTTTTAAATAATGTAAAACGTTGGCTTCCTTTTGTGTTACGTACAGGTTTCCATTTTAAACATGTTCTCAATTTTATTTTAACATGATTCATGATTTTGTTTATAGACAAATTCGAATTTAATCTAACAATTGATTAGCATTTCATTTTTTATTACATTCAGCCTGTTTTAAATCATAACTTGACACACTAATGGTGCAAAGTGGGCTTTCTGTTGGATCAATAAATAAAACGGTTTATGACTTAAAGTTTTGTTCTAAATTTTACCCATTAGGTCTTACATTTTATAAACATGTATATCTCTGATAATGACACTTTAGAAATATTTAATCCCTCATACCAGAAAGTAGTCTAATATATATATAGAAAATCACATATAGATTTATTATAGAGAGTAAAATATGTTGAACGTAATCTGCTGTGATGTTGTTGAATATGCCTCACAAGTGACGACATCCAATGTTCAGCGCTTCAGAAAATTTAAATATTTCATAAAAATGAATAGAAAGTTACATTTTAAACAGAAATTTTAATCGGCTTGTTGGTCGAGACTGTGCCGAAATAAGAAATTTGACTTCAGTTCAAGAAATATCAGGTAGTTCAGGTCAGGTGTATTTGCTGGTTAAACAAGCACAGTAGCAATTTTGGTCACTGAGCCAGCTTTTGGTACCTTTGGTGGAAAATAAAATTAGCATCTCCATGAAGCTGATAAAAAAAAAAGCAGGAGATGCTTTAAAGTTTTTGCAATGATTCTGGACTTTAGAAAAAACACAGTGAACCAACAGTGATTGATTGGTGAATAGTTCTGATCTCTATCATCTCACCTTTTTTCATTGTACGATGTGATAATAACATTGTCGGCTCCCGTTGTGCGACAACTTATAAAACGGGGATGCTGATATCTGTTATGACTTCTGTAAATACTGCACAGCTATGAGTCTTGTCCTTCTGCCCATCTGGGTCGCTTTAGAGCAGGGGTGGGCAATTCCAGTTTGTGAAGGCCGGTTTCCAGCAACCTTTAGATGTGAATTGGTTTCATACACCTGAATCAAGTAATTAGATGATTGATAGGACTCTGGAGGAACTATCTGCATACTGATGAGGTAACTCTGCCATTTGATTCAGGTGTGTGGCACCAAGGATGGATCTAAAATTTGCAGGGTAACAGTCTCCAGGAACTGGAACTGGAATTGCCCACCCAGTTCTACGAGCTACGAAACTTTCACGGT